TTGCGAAAACAAGGTCAAACAACCTCTATACAACTAAAGGAGACTGCGACCACACAAAAGGCCACACCATTCTGGTCTTCATACCTTTGGTGTTAGATTAAGCTCATCAAACAAACCAAACGTGTCAACTTACGCAGCCCCAGTCATGCCTTTCCTTAGAAGGTCACACGTTAATGACCCTAGACCGTGAGGTTAGGACAAGTGGTTTCGTAACTGCTTACAAGCTCATATCTCATTATCTCAATCATACTTGCTTACGGACTTACGCAGTCTCGGTCAGGCGTTGATGATCAGAGCCTAACTTTAACCTTTTGATAACTATGATTTATGACTGGTATTACGTATAGACGCCAACACACACACGCACACACTCGAGTAAAAGTAGTAGGACAAGTATGAAAGATAATTAGCCAAACCACTCTATATCCATCTAGGTTTTCAATTTTTAATTTTTAATTTTCTTTTGGCTTAGCTTAGTCTATATAAGAGGTAAGAAAAAGCCGGATAGTCGTCTTGGCCTAGTGTTAACATTTGACTTTTACAAGAATGACATCCAGCTCTGATGATGTCCATCATATGATGGACGAAAGCTCAGCACGCTTTCACCCGAAACGAGGGAGGAAGTCCCGTGGACTGCGTCAACATGAATATGGTATAAAAGCCAAACGGCTACAGTACAACGAGTTTCATCCGTCCTCATCTGGTGAAATCGACCAACGAATATCTTCTTCATGCACTTTCATACGAAATGAAGGTCCCCCTAATAATACTTAAAAAGACTTTGTTGAGCCCATACGAAATGTGCAGTTGAAGCGCCATGAGAACTTTGAGGGCCACATTCATTTACATGATATTTGGCCTAAAATTCCTAATGAAGAGGAAGACGCTAACTTGTCGGTGGAAAGATAGAGCTAACCTGATATAAACGCAAAAGTTGTGGGAAAAGATGGTGCTGCAGGAGCTTGCAATAGGCTTCTCTACGCTCGTTTGAAGATGCTATCAACTGTTCCTCCTGTTCCTGGTCTCTGGTTGTCGGCGATAATCCGCCGCATTGTTGGTACCATTTCGGCGGTTTACTGGTTACATGGTTCATACTCTCGTCGCTGGATTCCACTGAGTCTGCTTGCCATCTTGCAAAGGGTACCACTGCCGGCTCAACATGATCGTCTGGCAGCTCTCCAGACAAGTCTGGCCTTGCATATCCTGTCCGTGCTGACACTGTCCTTTTGGGAGTTTCTCTCTTGTGCACTGAACTTGAATATTTGCAAGAATACTGACTAGTTGGCCAGGGATATAGTTCCTCTTGGATACTGGGAGCGATCGTAGCAGCGGCAGTGGAGCCAAGAATCCTCGGTATCACAAGCGATTGGTGGACGGCCGGCGCTTCAGGTCCTGCATGTTGAGGACTGGTAAGAGTTGCAGTATCTCGGACCAGCCCATGATATTTTGCTACAACCGGCTTGAACAAGAAAGACAAGTAATGATATAATTTTAATGGAATTGGTGGTCATACTCGTTCTATCCACACGCTAACCAAAAGAAAGATGTCGCGAAGCGTTAATACAGATTTGGTTGCCAGAAAAAGGCTTGCTCAACTCTGATAGGCTAAAGCCTCTTCCAAACAAAAATGATATACCCTCCTTCCTTGTATGAAAATAATCACACAAAATAAGCGGTATACTTACTACCAAACTTTCCAACAGTTACCTCTCCACCAAAAATGGTTTACAAAATGCGAAATTTATCAGAAATCTATACCACTTCTCTAAATGATCCACCAATATGGCCCGATAGACTATGTCTAACCTAATCCTACCTTTCAGAATAGTCTCAAAAAGCGAGAACACAAGGAGCAGTTATGAAGGAGGGCAGTAATCATCGGGGTG